AGCAGGCCGGAGCTGGGGTGCTTTTCCCCCCATGCTAGGCAGTGCGCCAAGAGCTGCCAGCGCAGGCCTGGCTGAGGGCAGTGCCTGGGGGGTCCTCAGTGGCAGTGGGGCAGGGCTCCCACTCGCTGGGCTCTTCCCCATGCCCCTGGAGTCCCTGCTGCCGGTTAGCCACGTCACTCTCTGGACAAGCCCCCTCGCCACGCACCAGCCCTACCCTCCATTCCCGCCACGGGCCCTGCTCGCTGGGCAGCACGCAGGCCTAGGAATCCACCAGCGTCCCCAGGACACCCAAACCCCACTGCACGAGCAGCCGCGGGTCCCAGCGCCTGCGGCCCAGCTAGGCTCCAGCTTTCTCCCTGCCTCCAGCTAACTGCCCTGGCTGTGCCAACAGATACAAGAGGGTCTACAGAGTGCACCAGGACGTCTGCTACAAGGAGAGCTGCGAGAGCACGGCTCCCAAGACAGGCAGCAGGTAAGCCAGGGCACCCATTGCCAAGGGACTGGGCGTGGCGGGGGCCCACCCCCCAGTCAGTCCCGGCCGCCTGCACTGGTCCTGTGTGCACGAGGGGCTGGCTCGGCTCAGGCGGGGGCGTCCGGAGAGCGCAGGGCAGCAGGGACCTTGGCGCCTGCGGCGAGCAGCATGAGGCAGGGAAGCGGGGCGCTGGGCTTGGGGCCCTGGGACACAGGACCGCCCTCCGGGCTCGTGGGAGCCAAGAGACAGCGGCCGCACCGTGCCCACGAGCCCCCTCTCTCCTTACAGGAAACCGGGCCCCAGTCGCACACCGAAGGAGCCATAGAGTAAGTGCCTGTCTGGGTGGGGCGTGGGGCGCATGGTGGCAAGGCCAGAGGACGCACCATGGGGCGGGCAGGGAGCTGCTCCCCTCCCCGGGTCCCCGGGCACTCGGCTGCGAGCGCACACGGGCGGGGGAGGGCGTAGTGCTCTGACAAGCGCCCCTTGCTGGGCAACAGAAAGCCTGGGAACCGCTAAGATTGGTAACATACGGCCTCTAGGTAAATCCACAGCCTCTAGAGCGCTGGGCAGACACGCCGAGATCGGAGTCTAGAAAAGGGCAACAGAAATGTCTGGGACAGGGAACGGCTGCCATTGCTCTGGGACTTTTCAGCTTGGAAAAGAGACGACTTGGGGGATATGACAGAGGTCTAGAACATCAGGAGTGGTGTGGACAAAGTGCTATTTACACCTCCTAACACTGGAACTAGGAGTCACCCAATGAAATTCATAGGCAGAAGGTTTAGAACAAACCAAAGGAAGTTTTTCTTCATGCAGCGCAGTCAACCTGTGGAACTCCTCGCCAGAGGATGTTGTGAAGGCCAGGACTGTAACAAGGTCAAAAAAAGAGAAAAGCCTAGATAAGTTCATCAATGGCTATTAGCCAGAAGCTGGGAATGGGCAGCTAGGTCACTTGATGGTTCCTTGCTCTGTTCAGGGGTGAGATGGCCCTTTGGTCTGACCCAGCCTGGCCGCCCTGATGTGACCTTTGGCAGATGGCTGTAAGCAGAAGGGAAGGGCCCCTACAGAGACTGGGCCTGCCCCTGTGCCAGACAGACGCGAGCAGAGCACCAAGGCCCACCCATACAGTCAGGGACACACCCACACTTTCTGGCCAGACTCCGTGGTAGCGGAGCGCGGCGGAGTCAGACAGTTAATGGCATGAGCGTGGACAAAGCCAGCCACCTGGGAACGGCTGCCCCACGTGAACAAGTACTAGCCTAGCCTGGGCTACGCTAGCACAGCTCTAGTTTTCCCTTTCTCCTCCCGTTGCTGTTGGCTCAAAGACATTTCGTTCCAGCCGCCGGCTGTGTCCATTCCAGGGGCGTCTCAGGTCCCACTGTTCCCCAGGCCAGCGGCAGAGCTGGGAATTGAATCCCAGTCCCTCTGCCTTTCCCACGCCCTCCCCTGCCACTTCGGGGTGAACGATCTGAGGCCAGAAGGGACCACGGGTCCCTCTCAGCCCTCCTGCGTCTACAGGCCACAGAAGGTCACCTGCCCGTCCTCTGCCCCTCCCAGAGCGCACGCTACAGAGAATTCACCATTCACACTAGTGCAAGGCGGCGTACTGCAGAGGGTCTCTGCCAACCCGACCCGGGGCCATTCCTTCCTGAGCCCACGTGTGGCAGTCAGCCAGACCCAGCCACCAGGCAGCAGGGAAAGCATTTTCCGTGGGAGCTCAGAACCTGCTCCAGTATCTTTAAATCTCACCAGGCAAAGCGCAACCGTCAGTGCTCCAGCACCCTCGGCGTGCGTGCGGCCCCGCTCCGCACAGCTTTGCCTTGGCTAGAGCAAATCCATATCCACTAGCACACACGGGGCCCTTGTCAATTGCAGCGCGGGAGCTGAACGCTGTAAGAGCAACCTCCAGGGCCAAAACCCCCACTGACTTCCGCAGGGAACGGGGCCCCGTGGCCCTACGCTGCGGTCCTTCCCCGGGAGCCAGGGAACCGCGGCGGCGTGCTCCCCGCTAACACGACTGCTCTCTCCCCATAGGGTAAAGCACTAGGAGCGTCATCTCACCAGTTCTAAGGGCTTTCAAACAGCAGGACGATCGGCTCTCCAAACTGGGTCCAAAATGGGGGGAGGCATCCTACGAGGAGTCACCGCCCCCCCGCCGGTTAGGGACACACCCAGATTGGCACCCCAGGCCCGCACACCGGCTTTCCTTATTGCAGCCGTCGACCTTCCCATCCCCTGAATCCACCTGGGGCAAGCCAGCTGTCCAACGGGGCGAGCCGTCTGTCACCCAGGCCTGCTCAAGTGAGCCCGCAGCTGCACAGGCATTGACAGGGCTGAGATCAGCCTCCGGCTTGCCAGCATAAGCACCCAGCCGTTGAACTGCAAATCCCCCACGACTCGAGTTCCACGCCACCCCGTGCTCCTTAGCTACGAGCCCACACCCGCAGAGAAGCCAAGTATTTCCCTGCACGGCCGCGTTAACACCAACTCCCAGTGATCTGAACTGATGAGGGTGGAAAATAAAACGGACGACACGTTGCCCCTTCTCTCGTACCGCCGCTGCCTTGTTTTTAAGAACCCCGTGCTGAGTAGTGGGCAGCACCGGCTGTTCTAACGGCGTGGCAGTGTGCAGCTCACAAACACGCCTGGAGCACCTCCCCACGTTTTCCTCCCAGGACAGGTTAAGGCTCAGAAAGGTTTTGCTCCCGTCCTCGTTTTTATAACACCCACACGCTGGCCTGTGCAATCGTCTCAAGGCTCTGCAGCGCTGCCCGGCTCAGAACATGTGTCAGCTGACGTAGTAACACGCTGGAACGTGCAGCCGGAACCGAGTCGGGAAGTTTCCAAAGCGCTTGTCAGCTGTAAGCCACTTCTCTGCAGCTTTAGATTCTGAACCAGGTAGATCCAGGAAGCTGAAACCGCCCCCACGCCTGGCATCCAAGCACCCGTTCCCTCTGTTCCAGCTGTGCTTAGGTACTGGCCACAATCGCAGCCCTGCAGGCTCAAGCAAAGTGTTGAGCGTTTCCATTTCCTAGCTTTTGAGTTTGCGGGTCACTAACTGCACCGAGGTTGTGTCTTCCTGGGCACAGCGTCACCTGAAGTGACACATGCCAGAGACACCGCTTAGCAGTGGCCCTGCGGCCAGGTTGCAGGAGCTGTCTACGGGTGCACCTCACACAGGCTGCAGCGACCGGCCCCCGGGCTGTAGCAAAGGCGAGGCCGGCTGTGAGCAGAACACAGCGCAGGCCTTACCAGCTCCCCGCCGCAGCTGGCCTCCCTGCTCTGCGCACCGCCAGGCGCGTGGGACCTGCCAGCTGGCAGAATGCTCTTGCCCAGCTCAGGGACCCTTTGCCTCCCGGCTCCAGCCGCTGCCGAGCTCGGCCCAGGAACGACCCGCTTGAGAGAGGCTGCCAGGAACCGAACTGGGAGGCAGATGGGTTGCCAGGAACAAGGCTTCCTAAGGGCCACCCACAACTCCAGCATCCCAGCTTCACCTCACCAGCCCTGGGGAAGGAGGGCCCTGCTTCTGGGACGCGGGGGGAGGCTGTCAGAGCCCCAGCAAGCCTTGCCGTTACCTGGGGAGGGCAGGAGACCAGGCCTCAAACATCCAACATGGCAAGTGGGGCTGCCAGGCCCTGGTCCCAAGCGGGTCTGTCCCACGTCCCAGCTGGCAGCCGACAAGGACCGGCCTGCAAACAGGGCGACCGAAGGCGCAGGCAGCCTGGGGCTCAGAAGCCCACTGCTGGGTAAACGTCTTGAGTTTTCTGCAAATATCCCTTTAACTGGAAACTAAAGCCAGTCCCTTGCCGCCTAGCTCTGGCAGCCTTCGAGCGCAGCTCTCGGGCCACACCACCAGCAGCTGGTGCTTGCCTGCGCCCCCAATGCACCGGCAGCAGCCGCGGTTGTGGCAGTCCGACACTGCGCCTCCCCAGGTGCAGCCGCCGCAGCGTCCTGGGCCATCGCAGGCTGCGCAGACTGAGCACAGCGTGTAACGCAGCAGCAGAAGATCGGATCTTGTTCAAACGTTCGCTGTTTTGTTTTCTAAATAAAATCCAATGGCCTTCCCTCAGCCCACAGCGCTGCTGCACTGGCCACCCACGCCGGGCCCCAGCCCTGCTCTCCCAAGCCCCCTGGTTCCTCTCCCCTCCTCCTCGGAGCCTGGGACGAGTGGGGCCCCGCCCATCCCCTCCCCTCACAGGCCCCCCCAACCCAAGCCCTCCCCTCGGGGCCACAGGAAACATCTGTGCTCCCCAAGGCAGCCGCTTGCCTTCCCGGCTCTCACTCCCCACAGCTGCCTTGGTGGGGGAAGGGTCAGACGGGACAGACCTGTCCGAGGCGGCTGTGCTCAGAGGGACCAGGGCGTGGCAAGCAGGCTCATCCTCCGGGCAGCCGTCCCCTGCCCCCAGCGCACCATCAGATCCTGCTTGGACACCTGCAGCACCGGGCGGGGGGGATCAAGCCCAGTGACACAGACAGGCACTCGCTTTATTGGGTTTACACAGCCGCCCAGAACAGGCCTCGGCGCCCAGGTTACCTGTGTGCAGTGAATGCTCCAGACAAGTGGTGTCGCGGTGACACCATTAAGCACAGGGGAATGCCAGGAGCACCCAAGGTATGTGGCTGCCCCAGCAGCTGGTTCCCCCAATGACTCTTTTACTGACGCTCGGGGGCAGGAGTTCAGTCTCCTTCCTCGCTGTCAGATCCTTCTCCTTCCCCGTCACTGACGGAGTCTCTCTCTTCAGACGCTGGATCCAGATCCACCTCCTCTCGAGCCAGCAGCTTCTTAAACACCTCGAACTCTTCCAGCGAGGAGTGAGCTATCTTGGCCAGGAAGTCCCCTTCCGAGGCTCGGATGATCTCCTTCAGTTTGGGGTTGACAATCTGGGTCTGGCCTTTCTTGTCAGGGGTTTGATAAAGTCCCAGGCGCTCCAAGAAGATGTGCCGGTTCTTGACCTCAGCCACTGGGGTTTGGAAGAGACCAGATTTCACCAGTGCTTTGTGCTTTACTCCCATTCTGAAGTACACATACTGCAGAAAAAACAAAGGGAGAGTAAAAATACAGCCCAGCCCAGGGAGTGGGAGAAACAGACATTTGATTCACTGCTGTAAGCCTGTCCCAGGAAACACGCTGGACTGGAGCTAACGGGCTAGAAAAGTTCTGTCTCACTTCTCCCGTCAACACGCACAGGTCACTCACGGCAGAGAAATCTGAACGGAGGCTAAGGAGTTAAGCATTTCTGCATCGACTATTCGATTAGTCAATAGGGCGCCTCCGCCTTTGAAGTGGAGCAACAGCTGCAGGGTCCCCAGTTCACCGCGGCACTGCCGCTTTGAAATGCCGGGGGAAGGCCAGCGTGGGGATCCCTGCAGCACTCAAAGTGGCAGTGCCGCACGGGGCCCAGGGTCACTGATCCCGGGCTCCATGCAGCGCTGCCGCTTTGAAATGCCGGGGGCAGGCCAGCGTGGGGATCCCTGCAGCACTCAAAGTGGCAGTGCCGCACGGGGCCCAGGGTCACTGATCCCGGGCTCCATGCAGCGCTGCCGCTTTGAAATGCCGGGGGCAGGCCAGCGTGGGGATCCCTGCAGCACTCAAAGTGGCAGTGCCGCACGGGGCCCAGGGTCACTGATCCCGGGCTCCATGCAGCGCTGCCGCTTTGAAATGCCGGGGGCAGGCCAGCGTGGGGATCCCTGCAGCACTCAAAGTGGCAGTGCCGCACGGGGCCCAGGGTCACTGATCCCGGGCTCCATGCAGCGCTGCCGCTTTGAAATGCCGGGGGCAGGCCAGCGTGGGGATCCCTGCAGCACTCAAAGTGGCAGTGCCGCACGGGGCCCAGGGTCACTGATCCCGGGCTCCATGCAGCGCTGCCGCTTTGAAATGCCGGGGGCAGGCCAGCGTGGGGATCCCTGCAGCACTCAAAGTGGCAGTGCCGCACGGGGCCCAGGGTCACTGATCCCGGGCTCCATGCAGCGCTGCCGCTTTGAAATGCCGGGGGCAGGCCAGCGTGGGGATCCCTGCAGCACTCAAAGTGGCAGTGCCGCACGGGGCCCAGGGTCACTGATCCCGGGCTCCATGCAGCGCTGCCGCTTTGAAATGCCGGGGGAAGGCCAGCGTGGGGATCCCTGCAGCACTCAAAGTGGCAGTGCCGCACGGGGCCCAGGGTCACTGATCCCGGGCTCCATGCAGCGCTGCCGCTTTGAAATACCACGAGGAGCCTGCAGCTCGACGTCTCCAGCTGCCCCCAGGCTCTGTGCCGTGCTGCTCTTTGGAGCATCGTTTCCCCCCTGCTGCCTCTATCTCAGGGCTACTGAACATTGGAAGTCCCAGGGGCCCCAGTGATACTCTCAGCACATGCCGAGGGCCGCAGGGCCGCAACTTAAGTGTGGTTGTGTATACGAGCAAATATATATGCAAATAGATTCTCTCGCACTGATGGGCATGAATACAAAGATTAAGGCAAGAGTACACGCACACGCCCCATTTCAGCCAGTTCTGCTGATACGAATGCAATGCGACATTGACCGATCGCCACCCCTATGAGCGCCCTTTGAATGAGCACAGGCCAGGACTTTAACTACTAAAACGCATCTCGACAGAAGCCCATTCTACTGCCCCCTTTTGTGGTTTGGTTCCCACCCGCGGGCCGCACGTTGAGCCCCGCATGAACCCAAACCACACCGGGGGCTGCAAACAGGCTGCGAGCCATGTGTTGAGCAGCCCTGCTCTATCTGATGGAGGCAGCAAGGGGGAGGAGAGCGACTGTCCAATAACCATTTGCTTATCGCAGTCGACTAGTCCGTCACGTCCCTAAGCGAGGGAAGCTGTTGGAAGAGCTCAGCGCTGCGCATGCTGGCAGCAGGTTCATCAAGACTAACGCCTGCCCCACAAAGGTTACACTGGTGACGAGGAGAGGAGCACACGAGCAAGCAGAGATCTTGACGCTGTTTGGAGGGGGGAAGAAATTGCACACTGATCACAAGTGCACTCGGCTGCTGCATTTCGGAGGCCCTCCCAGGGCCGCTGGCAGAGGGGGCCCCAAGCCAGTAGACCCCCGGCCGCTGTAAAAGGCAATGGAACTCTGAGGTGCTGGTGTTCGTAGCACAGCCAGAGCCAGCCCAGCAGAACCCGTCTGCACAGCACCCGTGTCTTCCCTGCACACTGCTCCAGGCCCGCCACGGCACTGGCCTCGCCTTCAGGCCCCCAGGCGGGCTTCTGTGGTGCACAGTACAGACCCTATGGGGAGATAAAGATGGCAAGCCCTACTCGGGTGTTACTCCCCCGTGGCCCTGGAGTTCAAACCACCAGCCAGACCTTCCGCTGGCTTCCAGCCTCACCTGGAATTTGTACTCCAGGTCCGCTGGTTCCTCCAGCAAGACGCTGGGGCAGCGATGCAGAATCTCCACCACCTGATCCACAGTGAAAAGACACTTCTCCCTGAGCACCCGCACCACAGCGGCTATTTTCTTCCAGGGCAAAGTGAAGATACCGGGGCAGCGGCTCACCACTCGCTGCAGGGTCCCTGCCTCGGACAAAAGGGCAGATCGTGAGACACGCTCAGCACAGAGGAGAGGATGAATTACCGGACCTGGGATCTGCAAGGGAGGGGGACTGCTCTGCCTCCTTCTGGAGCGGAGGAAAGCGATTTAAACCCCCCTGCAGAGCGGAGATGGGATTAATTAATTTCCTGACCTCCCTTCCCACGACCATGGCTGTGATTTCTGGCAGTGGGAACAACCGCTAACGCACAGCTGATGGGGCGATGTTCTGAACCCCACCAGAGGCCGAGCTAGAAGCTGCCTGGCGTCGTGTGCCCCGTGTAGGTATGAGACATCCCTGGGACAACACCCCCGTCAGGCGGCAGGGCTCTTCCCCCTCCCGCTGCAGGTCTGAGAGGTGCTGCCAGGACACCAGGACAAAACAGCTCCAGCTCCAGGAGGGCAACCGGAGAGAGGGGACGCTCTGAGGGCACGAGGTAATTCTGGCAGCACCTCAGCACTGCCTCTCGTGCAAGGCGGTAAGCGTGCAACACCAAGGCACCTTCTCCAAGGCCCAGCTTCCGCAGGGAGTCTGCGCGGCGCCTCAGCTGCAGGGCTGTCATCCGCAGCACGTCAGGGCTCTTCTGCAAGGCCTTCAGCGTGGAGTCCGCATCCAGGCCCAGGAGGAGGAGCTCAGAAACCACCGGAGCCAGCTTGGGCTGCAACCCGAACAGCTGCACTATCTGAGCATTACTGAATCCCATGTCCGAGAAGGAATCCACCACCTTTTCCAGCTCTGAGCTCCCCATCTCAGCTCGCCTCTGCTGTGCCGCCAGGGACAGACGGACAGCTTCCAGGAGCCGCCCGCCGCCCGCCGGCTCATTGCTGTGCTGCTCCCTACCGCTCCGTTCGGAGGAGGCCACCGAGGCCAGTCCGCACCCACTGCTGACCAGAGGACAGAGAGAGGCTGGCAGTGGAGCAG